GTTCAAGTGATCCTCCCACCTCAGCCTCCCAAAACGCTGGGATTAGACAGTGACCCTCCGTGCCCAGCCCTCTGTTTCTTTCATTTCTGTTCTCAGGCAGCTCTCATTTGAAGGTGCTCAGCAAATCCAGAATCAGTGAATGAATGCATGAAAGGAATCTCACAGACTTGGGGGAAGAGCTGTCTTTTCAGAAGTCTTAAGCCATCACAGTGGGAGAGAGCCAACCAAGCACAGGGTGCAAAGTCCAAGCCAAGCACCTCTGGCTGCCTTTACCCACCACCCTCCCTGCCACTGGAAGGGCCCCAGCCCGTGGCAGCCCTGCCCCCTTTTATTTATTTATTTAATTTTTGAGACGAAGTCTCACTCTGTATCCCAGGCTGCAGTGCAGAGGCACCATCTCAGCTCACTGCAACCTCCGCCTCCCGGGTTCAAGAGATTCTCCTGCCTCAGCCTTTTGAGTAGCTGGGACAGGAGCGTGCCACCACGCCTGGCTAATTTTTGTATTTTTTAGTAGAGATGGGGTTTCACCAGGTTGGCCAGGCTGGTCTGGAACTCCTAAGCTCGTGATCATTCCACCTTGGCCTCCCAAAGTGCTGGTGTCCCTCCTTTATTTCCTGTCCCTCTATCCAGGGACAGGCCTTTCACGTCCAGGACCCAGCTCCAACCTAGCCCGGATCTCGCCACGCCGGCGCTCTGGGAACGGAAACGAGGTGGTCAGAAGCTTCCACGTGGGGGCGCTGGTGGGGCGCGGGAAAGAGTGAAGCAGACCCCCGCCCCCACTCCCGGTGCGTGGTCAGTGAAGGAACCCAGATGGTCAATCTGCGGCTGCCCCCTGCCCGCCCCCAGGGTCCCCACCAAGCAGTCATGACCCCCACGGAGCCCCCTCCGTTCTGCCTCGCCTCTTGGTCCCCGCCAAGCCCCACCCGCGGGTTCGCCCTCCTCAGTCAAGATGAAAGAGTCCGCGAGCGGCAGAGAGGTCTAGGTTCGAATCTCGCCTCTGCCTCTTAGTGGCTGGCGGCTTTCTCCCAGGGCCGGCCTGTAAAATGGGCCCATCACGCACCGACTTTGGCCGGAGGAGGGGTTCAGGAAACGTCAGCTTCCTGCCCGCATCCGCCCTCATCTCGCGTTTCTCTCCTCTGTGTTCTCCCTCTGCTTTTCCCCCCTCCCCCTTTGGTTTTGTTCTAAGTCCCTCCCTCCCGCGCCCTTTCTCTTCTCGGCTCCGCAATGTTAGCCAAACCGCAGCGTTTAGCAATCCTGCGCCCACCCGGCGCCCGGGGAGCCTTACCGCGGCCGCGACCCGCCCCCGGCCGGGCTCCCGAGGGGGCGCCACCACCGCGACGTGCCCCGCCCCCACGGGTCGCACGCCGCCCCCAGCCCGGCTCACCTGGGGGTCGCACCCCGACTCGCGCTCGGCCCTGCCCCAGCCCACCCGGCATCGGCCGGGTCCCTCCTCTGGCGGCAGCGCCGCAGCCCACCCGCCGTCCGGGCCGCGGGGACCCGGCGGCGCTAGACGCACCGGCCAGGGCCGTGCCCGGGTGGCCGAGGGCACCGGGGGGGGGCGGCGGGCTTGGCCGCCAGGACTGCCAGCGCCAGCCTGACCGCAGCCCGAGGGTGACGCTGTAAATAGCCGCGGTTTCCAGCCAGTGCCCTGCCTCCCTCCCAGCCTTCCGGACCTTTTGGGTTTTCTCTGCCTTCTTCCCGTCGCCCTCTCCTTTCTGCCCCGCGCCCCCCACCACGTCCCTGCTGTGCGCCCACCACATCCTGCCCCATGCAGATGGCTCTGGCACTGGCGAGGTCACAGAGCCGGAGAGGGGGCCAGGAGACCAGCGCTCCTTCGAGGGAATAAAATAATAATAATCACAGCAATTAAGTTAGGGTTAACTGAGTACGTGCTATGTATGTGCCAGGGACTCTGCTGAGCGCTTTACAGGCAGGATTCATGAAATCTTTGCTACACTTTAGGAGGACCACCTTCAATTTGCAGATAGAGAAACTGAGGCTCAGACTCAGTAGGGACTAAGACCACCCCATCTGCATCTGCAGAATGGAAGGCTATTGCCCCTGTCCAGAGGCCCAGGCTGTGATTCTGCCTGAAGCCTAGTGGGTAAGGCTCCAGTTGAAAGCGGGAAAGGGCTGGCTGGAGGTCCAGGAAGCTAGTCTGCCAATGAATTCTCAGTGTATCCTAGAGCAAGCCCAGCCTGCCTCAGTTTCCACACCTGTGAAACCAAGGGGATGAAAGGCAACATTCTGTTCCTCTAAAGAACGTGTTAATGACAGTGGAAAACCCCAAATGGAGTGTGAGGCATGAGGTATCCTGCGCTTGGGGGAGCTCAGTGGGAGGCTGGGGGGCTGCCTCCCTGCAGAGCTGAGACCAACCCACCAGCCAGGTCTGGCTGCCTGGGAATTAGGCTAAGCTCGGGAAGCTGCATTTTAGCAAATTTGGGGATTCTGAAGCCATCCAGTTTAGAACCCAGCAAAAAGATGCCTGGAAGTGGGTGGGGTAGGATGGTGGGGGTCCTCCCTCAAACACTCCATACTTGTCCTTATTCATCTCTGCCTTGGCTGGCCTGGACTCAGGGTGAGTGCAGGTTTATTAAGAACCTGCTGGGCCAGGCGCAGTGGCTCACGCCTGTAATCCCAGAACTTTTGGAGGCGAAGGTGGGCGGATCACAAGGTCGGGGGTTCAAGATCAGCCAGAACAATATGGTGAAACCCCATCTCTACTAAAAAAATATAGAAAAATTAGCTGGGTGTGGTGGCAGGTGCCTGTAGTCCCAGCTACTCGGGAGGCTAACGCAGGATAATTGCTTGAATCCGGGAGGCGGAAGTTGTAGTGAGCTGAGATCATGCCACTGCACTCCAGCCTGGGCGGCAGAGCGAGACTCCTTATAAAAAAAAGAAAGAACCCACTGTATGCCAAGCACACATCTAACACAGCCCCACTCTGAGAGACCCTGGCATAATCAACAGCCACATGGCTGACTAGCAGAGGTGCCCTCAGCCCAGCTGTCCCCTGAGAACTGGAGCCAAGCTGCTGCTTCCAGGGGTGAACAGCCCCGAGCCAGGCTGTGCAGATCAGTGAGCAGAGCAAGGGTTGCATTTCACCTCCACTGGCCCCCTCGGCAGCCAGCCTTGTGCAGGACACCACCTACACAACCTTGCACAGCAGCCAGTGGGGAGCCATAGAGATCCAAGTAGGAGATGTTGGCAAAGGAGTCAATTACTTGTTGCTGGAGACCAGAAGAGACAGAAGAATTCTATGCAAAAGGTGAATATTAAGCTGGATCTTTAAGAATGAGTGGGAGTTCACCAGGCGGAAAGGGAGGTCCCGCAGAGGCAACAGCCTGTCCCAGGACAGGGGTAGGGGTGGCCTGGGAAGGAGGGCATGCTCTTCCCTTGCTCCCACTGCTATGCTGGCACATGTCAAATCAAACGTAGCTTATCAGCCAACCAGAGGTCTCGGTGCCTGGACTGTGAGATGCAATAGGATGCGGACAGTGTCTTACTCATCCTCCACAGCCCACTGCCTCACCCAGTGCCAATAATTGTAGGGGTTTTTTTGTTGTTTTTTTTTTTAAACGGAGTCTCACTCTGTCTCCCAGGCTGGAGTGCAGCGGTGCAATCTTAGCTGGCTGCAACCTCCGCCTCCCAAGTTCAAGCAATTCTTCCTCAGCCTCCCAAGCAGTTGCGACTATAGGCGCATGCCACCACGCCCAGCTAATTTTTGTATTTTTAGTAGACAGAGTTTCACCCAGTTGGCCAGGATAGTCTCAATCTCTTGACCTTGTGACCTGCCCACCTCGGCCTCCCAAAGGGCTGGGATTATAGGTGTGAGCCACCGCATCCAGCCCCCCGATGCCAATAATTGTAACAGTAGTTATCTTGGTCAGCAGGTAGTAAATACTGACCATCATACGTTGTGCTACGTGTTCCAGGGCATCATCTCATTTCAGCCTCAAACTCTGGAAACAAGTGCTATTATTAATCCTGTTTTACAGCCAAGGATTCTCAAGAGGAGTTAATATGCCTAAGGTCACACAGCTATTTAGTAGTGGAGCCAGAAATGGAATCCAGGCCTCTCTGACCACAGAGCCTTTTTCTAGACTGGATGGGTGGCTAGATGGATGAATGGATGGGAGGATAGGTGAGAGGAAGAACTCAGCGAAGGACCATGAACGTCACGCTGGGGAGCCTGAATTCACTCAAGGGCAGTGGGGACATGCTGGAAGGTCGTGAGCAGGAGAGACAGGTCAGTTTAGGGATTTAGAAAGATCACTTTGACCACAGGGGAATGATCATTTAGAGCCAATGATGCTTGAAACCTGCAGCCATCTTTCTGGCAAATCCCAATTCCCACTTGTGGGGAGGCTCATTCCTTTAAGTATTGTGTTATTTCTCTTAGAGCAAGACATGTGTTCTTATGCACACACAGGGACTATTGATGGAGAATGCTGGAGAGGAGGGGCTCAAAGACAGGAAACGGAGACAGGAGGGGACATTGCTAATTTCCAGGGAGAGGGCTCCCTGTATAGGGGAGCAGAGCACCAGGAAGGGAGAAGCTGTACAGCCCCCTCCCTATTTCCAAGATGAGAAGGTCCCCTCGGGGTTTCCAGCCTGGCAGCTGTAAGGCCCAGGTCCCACACACTGCCCCACTGTGTACCTGCCACCAAGGAAACACAGCCAAAGGTGAGGCAGGTGTTGCATCAGAGTGTTACGCCCTGGGATCAAATATTAGGGGCGGCAGTGGAGGTCTGATCCCTTCTCCTGAGCAGCTCCTAATATCATTGGCCTTTCCAGCCAGGGAGGGAGGGGAGTCACAGAAACCTGCCTGGGGATCAGTTACAGCTGAAGGAAGGAAGCAGGAATAGGACCTGAAAACAGGCTGCGTTTCCCCTACGTACACTCAAGGAGCCAAAGAGCGGACCAAAAAGCCCGCAGGAGGCAGGCGTCTTCAGGCTGAGAGGGGCTCCCAGAGGGTTCTGGGGCAGAGCGGGCTCACCATGCTGCCTTGCCTCGCCCTGCTTTTCCTGATGGAGCTGTTCGTGTGCACTGTGGCAGGTGATGGTGGAGAGGAACAGACACTCAGCACTGAAGCAGAGACCTGGATAACTGTGGCCTTAGAGGTACCTTTGGGGAGAGGCTCTGACCAGGGCAGGGGATGATGGATGGTGGAGGGGCAGAAGATCCCGTGTGTGGCTGCCAGAACAGGCTGTGCCCTGCAAGGCAGGTAGCCCGACTCTCTTCCGTGAGTAGATTCAAGGCTATGAGCCCTGGCCTGGCAGACCTCCAAAGCGTGTGAGCATGTGTGTGTTTGTGTGTGTGTGTATTCAAGAAATACTTATTTAACTCACGGTATATTTCTGGCACTGTCTGAAATACTTTATAAATATTAACTCAATTCTCCCATTAACCTCATGGGGAAGGTATCATAATTACCCCCCATTTCACAGATAGGGAAACTGAGGCACAGAGAAGTAGTTTGTCCAAGGTTGCACAGCTTCAAAAGCACAACTACACACCTTGCCCAAGGTCTGATTCTGTGTATTTGTGCATCTGAGGAGTTTTTCCAGAATTTCAAGAGGATCAACTTAAACAAGACCACCATTTGGTCTCACATGTAGGAATGATCAGCATCCACACTACCCTCACTCCTGCCTGACAACCTGATTCAGGAAGCAAAGATCCTGACCTCAGGGATTCCCTAATCAGACAAGGGAGAGAGGCCAACAAACCAGAGGCAAAGGCGGACAAATAAGAGGCCAGTGCTCAGGGAGGGCTTCTAGGGGACAGGCAGGACAAGACTGGGCCTGGCTCCTCCCATTTCCAGGATGGTGAGGACACTGGGGTGGTCCTGGGTCATGGTGAGGTCCTTGGAAGTGCTTAGAAATGGGGCCACAAGGGCTGGACACAGTGGCTCACACTTATAATCCCAGCACTTTGGGAGGCCACGGTAGACGGATCACCTGAGGTTGGGAGTTTGAGACCAGCCTGACCAACATGGAGAAAACCTGTCTCTACTAAAAATACAAAAGTAGCTAGGTGTGGTGGTGCACGCCTGTAATACCAGCTACTCGGGAGGCTGAGACAGGAGAACTGATTGAACCCGGGAAGCAGAAGTTGCAGTGAGCCGAGATTGCATCAATTGCACTCCAGCCTGAGCAACAAGAGCGAAACTGTCTCAAAAGAAAGAAAGAATGAATGAATGAACAAATAAATAAATGGGGCCCCAGGAAGAGCCATCGAATGGACAGCCCTGCATGGTGGGTTTCCTCTCTGATCTGTCTGAACCTGGCAGTGTGTGCGGTGAGGAGAAGGGAGCAGGGCTGGGAGCATCTCCACTGACGCCCGCCGCTTTCCGGAAACGGAGGAGGAGGGAAGTGACCCCTGCAAGGCTTTCCTCTAACTTTGACAAGCTTTATAGAGTCAGTGCCAAACATCAGGCACCTTGTCTAGAGACAGAAGCCTTGCTGGGTGATGCGGCCTCACTACGCAGCCCTGTGGGAAACGTTGTTATAAACGTCAACTAGCGCTGCTGGACGGGCTCCCAAAAGCACCTCCTCCTGCAGCTGGGTCTAATCCTTATTCTCCTTTCACTCTCCTTTAATATCGTATCCCTCTGCTTCCCAAGACACAGGGCTTGGAATATGGGAGACAGACTGGGTTAGAAGTCAGGGAGAACTTAGGAACACCATGGGACGCTAAGCATAACATAAGTGACGGCCAGCTGTGGAGTTTCACGCCTGTAATCCCAGCACTTTGGGAGGCTGAGGCAGGAGGACTGCTGGAGGCCAGGAGTTCAAGATCAGCCTGGGCAACATAGAAAGACCCCGTCTCTACAAAAAATAAAATGAGCCGGGCATGGTGGTGCACACCTGTGGTCCCAGCCACTCGAAAGGCTGACGTGGGAGGATGAGTGGAGCCTGGGGGAGTTGAGGCTGCAGTGAGTGGTGCTGGGCCACTGCACTCCAACCTGGGCAACACAGCAAGACTCTATCTCAAAAAAAAATGAGGTGACAGGGATGGGGGATGATCTCATCACTTACCTCCCTTGCTCCCGGGGCTCCCCACCTGTAGTCATCCCTGGAGCTGGGGATTTGGGTTAGATGGATCTGGAGAGCCCTGGGTGGAGCAGGAGTCCTTTAGGAGTGAATGGGAACCAATGCCTCCGAATGCCCCCGCCTCTGCCACCCCCCTCTCCCCACACAGAAACCCAGGAGGAGAAAGGTCAGTCCTACTCAATTCATAAGTGGCCATTCTCTCCAGCTTGGTCCTGAAGGCTGCCTCTTACCAAGGCAAAGTGGTTTTCAAGAGCTTTTCAGAAATGGGTCCAAATCTCCAAAGAGGCTTTTCTGGTTCTTGGCCAGGCTGGATGATTCCAGCCCAAGATAGCTGCCCCGGCCACTAACGTCCTGGTGGGGTGGGAGGGAAGCAGATGGGAAGTGAGTGAATTAGTCCAGGGCTTAGAAAACAATCCATTCCTGATCGTGAAAGGTGGGACAAGGCAAGTTGTGAGAGGCAAGAGGGTTTCCATTGTCTCTAGCCAGGTCCCTGCTGGTCCTGGGAGCTCCGGTGCTACCCCTAGGGAAAATGGGGATGGAAGAAAAAGCCTCTGATCCAACCCCAGCTCCCAGCCTCCTGGCAGGCGGCTCACGTTACTCTAAGGCTCTATCTTTAGCCTTCCTGGAAAAGGGGACCCCAGCCCTCTCCCTATTCCCAGACTCTCAGAGAAAGGACTCCTCATTCAGCATTCTGTGTCCCACACATGCTGGGCTCCTGTGTGTGCCAGGCTCAGTGCCAGGCACTGGGGGTATAGACATGTGAAGACAGTCTAATAAATGTCACCCACTGTCACCCTCTCAACTAGGGAGCAACTCTCCCTTTCAACAGAACTGAGCAAGCCCCACTTCAGAAGTTCAGATTCAGGTCAGAGAGGGAGAAGGCTTTGACCAAGATCACAGAGGCTGATGAAGGATGAGAATGTCAATCCACAGTCCTCAGTTCAGGACGCCTGCCCCATCAGCTCATGGATTAAAATGTCTCTGCCCAGGGCAATAACCTCCACCCCTGGACCACATGCCACTTCCTTCCGGCCCAGGAAGGAAGGGGAGGCCCAGGGCAATGGGGGAAGTGAGGCGAGTGGGCACTAGAGTGGGGATAAGGAGGGGAAGCAGTCCTGCCTTGCATCCTGGGGACCTGCCGTGAGCTCATTCCGGCCCTCTCCTCATCTATGCTGGAGACATTTCCTGAGATAGAGCAGAGCCAGTAGTGTGAAGTCAGACTTTGAATCTTGGTTCAACCTCTTCCTGTGTGACCTTGGACAAGTCACTTAACCTCCTTACATCTCAGTTTCCCCAAATGTAAAACATGGGAACCAGAGGGAATCATAGTTCCTGCTAGTTACGGTGCTTTCGCAGATTAAATGAGATTACGACTGCAGTGATTGAGACCAGCCTTTGAACCTGAGTTCAATTTCTGGTTCCGTCTCTCACTTCCCAGCTGGGTAACCTTGGACAACAATTCTTTTTTTTTTTTTTTTTTTTTGAGACCAAGTCTCACTCTGTTGCCACCCAGGCTGGAGTGCAGGGGCAGGATCTCGGCTGACTGCAGCCTCTGCCTCCTGGGTTCAAGCACTTCTTCTGCCTCAGCCTCCCGAGTAGCTGGGATTACAGACGCCCACCACCACACCTGGCTAATTTTTGTATTTTTAGTAGAGATGGGGTTTCACCATGTTGGCCAGGCAGGTCTCAAGCTTCTGACCTCAAGCGATCCACCCGTCTCAGCCTCCCAGAGCTGGGATTACAGGCGTGAGCCACTGCGCCTGGCAGGACAATCCTTTAACTTCTCTGTGCTTTTTCATGTGTAAAATGATGACAGTCACAGTACTAGGGTACTATTTTCATGGTGTTTGAGTGAGGTTCAGTTACCAGATGAATGTGCTCAGAACATAGGAGGTGAAATGTTAGCTATTAGGATGAGGATGCAGAGTCCTGTGTAAAATATGCAGAAGTGCCAAATGCCAGGCCAGAGTGAGTGTCTGCTGACCACGAGCTGTTACTCCTGAGATTGTCATTGCCCAGGCTGGCCTCACCGTCTGCCGGACAACCTCCCAACTCTAACACGAACTCTCTGCTTCTTCAGGGAGGCGCTGTCCCCAGCGTTCAGCTCCAGCTGCGGGAGGTGAAGAGGGGCAAGGCGAGCCAGTTCTTTGGGCTGATGGGGAAGCGAGTGGGAGGTAAGTGACAACGGCGGGTGGGGGCTCAGCAAGCAGAGGTCCTGAGTGAGTTCTACAACATCGAGCAGAGGCCCTAAGTTAAAAGCCCAGGACCTGGGTTCAGGTGCTCCAGTCCAGTAGGGGTCGCTCATGAGATCGGGTGGCATAGACTGTCCATAGAAATTATCACCCAGGCTGGAAGAGGGGGGCAGTGGCTCACGGTCTGTAATCCCTGCACTTTGGGTGGTCAAGGTGCGCAAATCACCTCGGAGTCAGTCCAAACATGGTGAACATGGTGAAACCCTGTCTCTATTATAAACACAAAAATTAGCCAGCCATGGTGGCACACGCCTGTAATCCCAGCTACTTGGAAGGCTGAGGCAGGAGAATCACTTGAACGCTGGAGGCAGAGGGTGCAGTGAGCTGAGATCCTGCCGCTCTGCAATACGGCCTGGGCAACAAAGTGAGACTCTGTCTCAAAAACAGAAAAGAAATTATCATCCAACCAGGACACTTTGGGGAGTGTTAATAATTACGCCAGGCAACAGGTGTAAACCAGCCTGTCCCCAACAATGGGAAGCGTGGTCACCTGAAGGGTGGGGGCACCGCCTCTGCAGGCTGGCTGGTGCCTTCCATGCTCTGCATGGCTCTGGGAGTGGCGGTGAAGCCAGAGACCAGTCTGGATGCGGGCAAAGCCACAAGCCAAGCTTTCTAGTCAATTTTGTTTGGCTCAAACAGAATTACTAACTCAAACCTGTGTTCCCTGAGGGCACTTTCAATTCAGGAGTCCTGCCCTCGGGGGACCAGGAGAAAACAGTCTGCACACACAGCAGTTTTCTATTTTCCTGTTGTCAACATTATATGTTTAAAGTGGTAACGCTCCGAGTTGCCTGGGTGTGAAAAAACTGGCACTTTTATACTGACTATTGGAGGACACGTTGGCAATTTCCAGGAAAGTTGGAAATGTGCGTGCCTTTCTGACCCAGAGTCTCACTTCTCAGGTGGACACGCTGTTGCTACATGAGCCTTAAGGGTGTTCACTGCCAACATGCTTGTAATATAGCAAGGATCTGGAAATTACGTAACGACCATCATCAGGGAATGGTCCAAATATATTAGGCATATCCTTAACCTTTGTGGCCATTAAAGAGAATGAGGCAGACCCATGGACACATATGGAGAGGTCTCCAAAGTACAAGGTTAAGCAGAAAGAAAGCACATTACAGATCAATATTCGAGAGGAGCCTACTTGTTTTTAAAAAATGACATACTCTTCCTGCAGAAGGTTTGCTCAGTTGTGGGAGGAAAACAAATGACATACGCACACACAGATATCCAAATGCATGGGGAAAGTTCTAGAAGGATAAATATCTAACTGTAAACAGTGCTTATATCAAGGACAGGAAGTAGAAATGAGGGGGAGAAAGAGAAGAGAGACTTTAAATTTCACTTGTACAAACCTTTTCAAAATAGTGGATGTATTCAAGGACTGCTTTTGTTAAAAAAAAAAAAAAAGTACACATATAAAAATAGAGAAAACCACCGGGCGCGGTGGCTCAAGCCTGTAATCCCAGCACTTTGGGAGGCCGAGGCGGGTGGATCACGAGGTCAAGAGATCGAGACCATCCTGGTCAACATGGTAAAACCCCATCTCTACTAAAAATACAAAAAAACCTTGCTGGGCATGGCGGCGCGTGCCTATAATCCCAGCTACTCAGGAGGCTGAGGCAGGAGAATTGCCTGAACCCAGGAGGCAGAGGTTGCGGTGAGCCGAGATCGCGCCATTGCACTCCAGCCTGGGTAACAAGAGCAAAACTCCGTCTCAAAAAAAAAAAAAAAAAAAAAAAAAAAAATAGAGAAAACCAACTTGTGACCAAGCCCTTTTGGCCTCAGTTTCCTCTTCTACAAAATGAGTTTTGAACTGAGCCATTTCAAACTTCTTTTCCAAATCCGGCAACCCATGAAGAACGGGGGATGGGGGTGTCAGAGAAATATTTCTTGAACACCTACTATACTCAAGATTAAATCTCCACAGCACTATCCCCCTTATCACAAGCACAGAAGCCAAGGCCCAGATAGGTTAAGCACTTTTCCCAAGGTTGCCTGCCCAGCTGGCACCAGGTGCCAGTGACCCCAAAGTCTGTGCCTTTCTAGCCGCTCCACACTGCCTCCTACTGGCACAGTCCTATTGCCACAGAGGATAACGGGGAGTGACTAGATTTCCACTGAGACCCACCCATGCACCGACCCCCAACAACTGGAGCCTTTCCCACCTCACCAAGCCCCCAGGAAGCAGTGCAGTCGGCAGTCCTCATTCCTTCTTTCTCTTTCCCCCAGGAAGACCTCTGATCCGGCCAGGGAGGAAAAAAGGTAAGTATTGCTCAAACCTGCCCTCAGCATGCCCCCTGGGGAGGGCTGAGTTGTCCTCGGTGCGAACAAACCGGGTGGACCAGGGGAAGGCCAGGCCGGCAATGCTGTGCAGAGGGTGGGGCCAGTGTGGTTTGGCCCTGCTAGGCTTTCTGGTTATTTTCTTAGAGGGGTGGTCCTAAGGAGTGGCTGTAGGGACAGAAGGAGACAGTGATGGCTCTAGTTCTGCCAATGTTTCAAAATTACCTTAGGTCTAAAGCCTGGAATTAGGGGGGGGAAAAAAAAAAAGAGCAAACCACCAGAGATAAGAGTGCTTAAAGCTCCAAACTCTGGCGCCCAGATTATCTTAAAAGTGCAAATCTGGCCGGGCGCGGTGGCTCACGCCTGTAATCTCAGCATTTTGGGAGGCCAAAGTGACCAGATCACTTGGGGTCAGGAGTTTGAGACCAGCCTGGCCCACATGGCAAAATCCCATCTCTACTAAAAATACAAAAATTAGCCAGGCATTGTGGCGGGTGCCTGTCATTCCAGCTACTCAGGAGGCTGAGACAGAGAATTGCTTGAACCCGGGAGGCAGAGTTTGCATTGAGCTGAGATCGCACCACTGCACTCCAGCCTGGGCAACAGAGTAAGATTCCATCTCAAGAAGAAAAAGAAAAGAAAACCAGCCTGTACCCTCCACTCCCTCAGTGCTCTCAGGACCAAGTCCATTCCCCTAATACAACTCACCGCATCCTTCAGGACTGCCTCACTGACTTGACTCCCAGCCCCATCTTGACCAGCTTTCCTTCCCTGACCGCCTGCCCTACATAGGCAGAGCTTGTCTCCATGACCTGGCATGACCCTGTCCTTGGCACACTGCACTACACTGTCTTGCTGGGTCACATGGCTGGCTGGTGTCCCCAGACCGGAAGTCCCCCAACAGGCAGGCATCAGGTCTGTTGTTGCCTCTGTATCTCCAGTTCCCAGCAGTTTCTGCCTGTTAGAAGCACCACTAGGTGTTTGGGAAGGGAGAGCAAAGGGAGAATGGAGGAAGGAATCAATGAAAGAACTAGTAAATAAATCAATCAGTCCATTGGTGTTTCCTCACCTCTTGGGATGACGGAGGAATGATTCTGTCTGCAAGGCCCTGGTCCTGGCCCTGCCCTTCCCTGCTTCTCAAGATAGCCCACTGCTGCTGCCTCTTTCTTCTCTACCACTTCTCTCTCCCACCGCCAGTGTATCAGCTGGAACACACACTCCAGGGCCTCCTAGGCAAGAGAAGCCCATCCACAGAAGGTAAGGGCCACTGGTGGTTGCAAGGGCATCATGGGAAAATGGCCACTTTGCGGCCAGCCTCCAAGGTGGGGGCTGGGCAGCTGGAGAGAGAGGCCCCCAGGAGAGGCAGTTGAGTACAAGAAGGTGGTCTCTTTGATGATCCGAGACTGAAATCGCTGTGGCCCTGAAGCTGCACCCTCCCCATCCCCTGCACACCCAGGCACACTCTGCCCTGCCCCTACCCCTGCCACTCAGGGCCAGCTGAAACCATGGGGACTTATGCCTAGTTTCCCAGGCCTTGGAACATCCCCTATTCCCTTACTGTTTGCAAAGTTCTCATCACTGATCATTAAGAGAGTCATGCCTTTACTCTTCAGAGATTTTCTGCCTTCAACTGTAAATAAGTGCAGATCACCCTGGGAGGGGTAACACTGGAAGTAGTTATCAGCTCACACCTTCTACCAGAGGCCACGCCCCCAAATGGTTCCAGGGGGCCAGGCAAGAAAGTGGGTAAATGAATCAGGTTGGGGAAAGGTCACAGCTCAAGCGAGTGGACACAAGAGGACAGGCAGTGGGTACCCCAGCAGGTCACAGATACTGAGCTCCAGTCTGCCCTTCCTGGCGCCTAACCTCTTCCACCAGAGCTGCAGACTTCTGGACCCCTCCCCTCCCTAGCACCCCTGATAGAACACCTGCTCGAGTCATTCCATTCCAGAGCCATGGAAGTCACCTCAATAACAAATAGAGATGAATGTCCCTCCATGCATGCTGTGGGCAGGAATATTAGAAGTCAGTCATCGCTTTTCAGAGATGGAAAGCTTCTTGCCCAAAGTCACACAGTGAGCCGATAACAGAGCCAGAACTAAACTGTGTCTCCTGTTTCCTGGTCCATGGCACTTTCCATGTCCCCAGGACAGCCTTTGGGACTCTTAAATAGCCTTCCCCACCTTTAATGAGGATAACTGAAGGTGGGCTCCGTCCATGCTCTGGAGGCATTAGCAATTGACAGATGAGCCTGTAATTCCATTGCCCTAGAAATCTCCAGACAGGAGGGGGGGTTATGAAGATGAAGGCCTTCAATGCCACTAGGGAAGACTACCATGGGTGGAGGAGCCAGACAAGACCCCCGTAACCACAGTTCATATACCAAACTCTCCCCAGGCAGAGAGGATGAGGCCCAAGGCTCAGAGTAAAAGCCCCCACCGCAGACTTCCCAGAGGACGTGGTGCCACTTCTTCCTACCTGGATGTCACAGCTGACCAGCCGGCAGGCCAGCTCTCTTCTCCGTGTCTCCTGTCATCGCTGGCACCTCACATGAGGCCCACACTGAACCCACTGGGCTTCTTCCTGGACTCACGGTGTCAGGCAGCAGTCCTGCATAAATGGACGGTCTTCACTGTTGCAAGCTGCAATTGACTCTGCCTTCCCTCACACTCACTGCCCAGCAGTGGGGAGACTCGCATACTCTGTATCCCTTGCCTAGCACACAGTAGGTACTCAATAAATAAGTGACCAGTGAATGGCTCCTATTCCGGTGCACAGCAGAGGGTAGGAATGGCCTGGGCTCCGCAGCCCGTTCAGTAGCCTCACTGGTATGTCCGCAGGCCAAGAGGCCGCCTCCAGAATTGCAGAGAAATACTGAACTGGCCCTGGTCTTGCCCCCAGAGGGGAAAACAGGCTTGGGACACAGGAAAGGATGACAGAAACAGGAAGGAGGCCATGACGGAGTGGGAAGGTATTACAGGCATTTCAAAATGGAAGGGATTTGAAAACAAGGGGTCTTTTTTCCCTTTAGCATCCTCTGAAGCCCCAGCCGGAAAGAAGACACCCTCTTCCTACTCACAGACATGATCTCAAGGGCTCAAATCCATGCATCTCCTGACTCAGAGAACTGGGTTCCAGGTCATTCATCAATTGTCTTGCATAAGGTGACCCTTCAACTAACTGCCGTGTGGTTAAGACACAGCCCCATTCTTGAACACCTTAGAAGACCGAAACAGCTCGAAGCCTCAGGGAGCCCCACACTGATAGGGAGGCAACTGTCCCTGACTAGTAGTTTATAGGCAGGTGAGAGACAGAGGACCCCTTAGAAAGCAGCACATGAGCTATCTTGAAATCCTGGAGGCCAACCTAGGTCCTAAGGGTGGAGGTGTGAGGAATGCGCAGGGAACTGCGTGTGGGTCCGGCAGTAAAGGAGGTGACTTACTCCACTAGGCTACAAAGCATTTAGCTTCTGTGGCCCTCTCTCCAAAAAAACAAAAACAAGGCCGGGCGCGGTGGCTCAAGCCTGTAATCCCAGCACTTTGGGAGGTCGAGGCGGGTGAATCACGAGGTCAAGAGATCGAGACCATCCTGGTCAACATGGTGAAACCCCGTCTCTACTAAAAAAAAAAAAAATACAAAAAATTAGCTGGGCATGGTGGCACGTGCCTGTAATCCCAGCTACTCAGGAGGCTGAGGCAGGAGAATTGCCTGAACCCAGGAGGCGGAGGTTGCGGTGAGCCGAGATCGCGCCATTGCACTCCAGCCTGGGTAACAAGAGCAAAACTCCGTCTCAAAAAACAAAAAAAACAAAAAAAAAAAAAAAACCCAAAAACAAAAACAGGTGAAGAGATTTTCTGGGTGTTTGATTCTTTGCAGGCAGGTGCAGGGGAGGGGAGCTGGGCTGTTTAAAAGGAGGGGAAAGCAGGCACACTGGTAGAGGGCAGGACCCTCCTCTGGATGCCAGGAAAGGCTTTAGTGACAACGAAGGTGGCTGCGAGGAGGAAGCCAAATGGCACCAGCACAGGCAGGAGTCGTTCCGCTTGATCTGTAGTGAGGTGGTCTCTCTCCCAAGACCGTTGACCGTGAGCCCCAAATAAACCTCAGGCCCCCGTTTTCCCCATCTTCACACCTTACCATCATGTCCAGCAACAAATACGGGAGTGGGGGGCAGTGCGAGCCTCCTCCTTGGACTTGCAGAATTTTCCAGTTAAAGTACTTCCCATCTCACCCACTCCTAACCCCCTAACCCACCAGGCATCCCTGCCCCACCCCACCCAGCCACTGGTTTGCTCCCAAGAAGTGGTTTGCTGCAATAACCCAACTCAAAGCTCCAGCAGAGGGCTGAAGACGTCATTCTTGTGTTTTGAATTCTGGGACATTTAGGAAACAAGTGAATTCACCAAACAGTGAGTTTCATCTATGTGCCAGCATTTCACTAGGAACTCAGATGGGACTGGGGATGTGAACGAGTGTACGATTGGAATTTGCCCTTGAAGACCTCATGGTACTACAGGAGAGCCAAGATGTACTAAAGGATGCAAAACCCGCCTTCGCTCCCCAGTGCCATCTTTTTCAAGCTCACTATGTTCACTCACTCCTGCTTCTGGTTTCTGCACATGCCAATCTTTCCATCCTGGTGAATGAATTCTTTGCCGAGATCCATTTCCCTGTAAACGTTTTCCAGCCCAGGAAACACCCGTCCATTACCCCGTTGGCATTCCTGAAATGCCTTACAAGTTCCTCCATTCAGCACTTCCTCTATGTCACAATGTTGATGTTATAATTAATGATTTACCTCCCTGGCAAAAGAGGGTTTCTGAATAACATCGATCACATCTTCTTATCTTTGTGCCCTCAGCGCCAACAGTAGTGTCTGGCACATCAGAGGTCCCTGGAGAGCATTGTGAGGAAGGATTCACATTTCCTGTCCTCAAGGAGTCTATCTCTAGAAAGCCAAAGTCACTGGAATAAGTAGTAGCAGCTGTGACTTACTGAACACATCCCACAGTTCTCAAACTCAACCGGTCCATACACTGAACTTCTGATCCACTGCCCCGAAGCTACTCTTCATCATCTTCTGCATCTCTACAAATGGCACCTCCATGCACCCAGCTGCTAGAGCTACAAATCTGGGGCTTCCCCTCAATTCCTCACATCTCATTATCCCCTAGTTGCTGAACCCTCTACAATCTATCTTGAGTCCACCTACTTCTTGCCATCCTCCCTGTCACTGTTAGTAGCAGCCGCCTTCCTCCGTTGTCTGGAGGGCAGCAGCCTCCTGGCAGACCTCCCTGCTTTCCACCCTCCTGCCAGCCAGCCACCCTCGGCCTTTGTTCACCAGATGACCTTTTAAAATGGGAACTAGGATCATGTCCATCCCTTGTTGGCGATAGTCCACCGGTGTCCTAGCATTCTTGACATTCTTGCAGAAACCTCCAGGGCCCTGTGCTCTCTAGTACCTCTCCTGTTGTCACCTGTCACACTCACACCAGGCTCTCTCAGACGCACACAAATCCTGGCCTGCTTCCGGATCTGGACACTGCCCCACCCTGCTAACTCATCTTTCAGCTCCCAGGATATAGGCCCTTTTTTCGACAGGGTTTATACTGGTTCCCCAGACTCAAATAATTCCTTAGTTAGTGGGCCCAAGGGAAATTGTTTACTGACTACATGAATGAATACATGGCAGGCACTGCAAGAGAATTTTCCACAATTCTGCCACTTGCTTGAAGTTGCAAAGGAAATGACAGAGGATCTGAGCTACAGTGGCTTGACTTCATATACACACACTTAGTCTATGCCATGATAGTTCAGACAAGTCTCAGGCAGAATTAGGGGCCTATTTTGGTGAGAAACCTTTCCAAAAGCCCTACTCCCAAGACACCAGTCCAAGAGGCTCCTTCCAGATCAAATCATTTTAGGAAATGTTATATCCTGTGTCTTCTTGGAAAACCCCAATGCCCATTAGCCTACTGAAGGTTTTGGGAAATCTTGAAGTCAAGAAACATACTGGTATTGTTTTTTTTTATTTTTAGAGACAGGGTCTTGGTCTGTCACTCAGGCTGGAGTGCACTGGTGGGGTCTCAGCTGATCACAGCATTGACTTCCTGGGCTCAAGGGGTCCTCCTACCTCAGCCTCCCGAGTAACTGGGACTACAGATGCACACCACCACGCCCAGCGAGTTTTTCTGTAGAGATTGGGTCTCCCCAAGTTGCCCAAGCTGGTCCAAAAACTCCTGGGTTCAAGTGGTCCTCCCACCTCAGCCTTCCAAAGTGCCAGGCTTACAGGCATGAGCCACCATGCTGGGCCTGATATTAACTTTGGAAACACACTGTTTTCCAACTTTATTTGGTCACAGAGCCCTGTTTGCCTATATATTTGTATTTAATGGAACATACTTCATGGAATGTTGAGTGGAGGCTTTCTCAGTAAATACAAGAAAGGGAATTGTAGACTAATCCAGTTGCACGTTGAGGTTATGTGTAAGGGAATGATGAAAGCTAGGCAGGCTGATCAGATTACGGAAAGACTTGAAAGCCAGGATAAACATGAACTTAATCCACTGAGCGATGAGAAGCCCCATCAATTCTGGAGCAGGGAGGTGATAAATAGTATCTTATCAGCAGAAAAAGGCAGGGCGTAGTGGCTCACACCTCCTAATCCCAACACTTTGGGAGGCCAAGGCAGGCTGATCGCTGGAGCTCAGCTCAAAACCAGCCTGGGCAACACAGCAAAACCTCGTTTCTACTAAAACAAAAAATTAGCCAGCCTAGGTGGTGCATGCCTGTGGTCTCAACTACTCTGGAAGTTGAAGTGGTAGGAACACTGGAGCCCAGGAAGGCGAGGCTGCAGTGAGCTGTGATCACACCACTGCACTCCAGCCTGGGTGACAATAAATAGAGCAGTAGAGTCTTCACTTTTCCTAATCCACTTAAGGAGATGGCTACGAATTCCAAGGCCAGCCAGTTACCTTAGTAGCGATTTGACAGCTAAGATATGATAAATCACCAAATGAGATGAACTGACTGAGGCTGCCATTTATACGGAACACGAACAGTGCCCCCTGGAATTGTACAAAGTGGTAGCCTTTCTCTAGGCACATCTGGCTTCCAACCACAGGCAGTTAATGAAACCTACAGGGTAAACTGAATTCCAGCCCTTTAGTTTCCAAAGTGCCCGTTTCAATTCTCCACTGCCATGTTATCAAACCATTCCAAAATGTGTGATTTAAAACAGCATTCTGACAATTCTCTGGGTTAACAGGACTCGGCTAGATGTCTTTATTGTCCTGAGGTATCAGCAAGGGCCACTCATGAAGACGCATTCAGCTGGGAGTCTGGCGGGGTTGAAACCTTCAAGAGACCCGAGTCTGGGTTTTGGTGCTATGACTGGAGCATCCTGGTTCTCCTATGCATGGTCTCTCACCATTTGGTAATCTAGCCCAAGCTTCTGGTTTGGAAACATGTCAGCTCATTTTCAAGAGCAACAGTGGAAGCTGCCAAAATATCGCTTCCATAACATCCTCTTAGTCACAAGTCACAAGTTCAGCCCACAATGAGGAAAAAAAGTAGACCTTATTGGAAGCAGCAAGTGCACAGAGGGATGAGGGCAACTGTCGGTGGCCATCCTTAGAGATCACATACCTACCGTACCTCTAAAGCCGTGAAGGAAGAGTGCAGGTTTCTGACAAATCTGAAATTGAACGTATGGTAAGCTCTTTCCAGAAATAAATGCCCGATTAAGAAC